GGGGGTGCCTGGGTGATAGACATTGGGGAGGGTATGTGCTATGGTAAGTTCTGTGAATTGTGTAAGACTGCTGAATCACAGACCTGTACCTCTGAAACAAATAATACATTATATGTTAAAAAAAAAAAAGAAGAAGAAGAAGAAGATAGCAGGAGGGGAAGAATGAAGGGGGGAAATCGGAGGGGGAGACGAACCATGAGAGACGATGGACTCTGAAAAACAAACTGAGGGTTCTGGAGGGGAGGGGGGTGGGAGGATGGGTTAGCCTGGTGATGGGTATTAAAGAGGGCACGTTCTGTGTGAGCACTGGGAGTTATGCACAAACAATGAATCATGGAACACTACATCAAAAACTAATGATGTACAGTGATTAACATAATAATAATTAAAAAAAAGAGCTGGATGCTTAACTCACTGAGCCACCCAGACACCCCAAAGATACAAATTTTAAAACTACCAAAAGTACTAGAAGAAAACTTAGAAGAACACCCTTGTGAACCTGAGTTAAGGTAGGGCTTCTTAAGTAAGAAACAAAAAGTAAAAACCATAAAGAAAAACAAATAATATATTTAATTATGTCAAAATGGTGAAGTATTATACCAAAAAATACTATAAGCAAAATTAAAAAAGAAACCAAAAACTAGGTGAAAAATGTGTATATATACATATGTATAAAGATCTCTACAACATGTATAAAGAATTCCTACAAGGAAATGCCAAATTTGAAAGAGCAACAGTATGAAGGAAGGGAACTTGTATTGTAAGAGGAGGTTGGGGGCAAAACGTTTATGGAGGCTTTAGATTCACTTTATATTCATACTACAATAAAACTTGAATTTTTTAAAAGGAAAATATGTTCATATTCTATAAGTATAATTAAAACCAATTTTAAAAACATACACAACTATTTACTTTCCACACTTCTCTCAAAAATAAATCAACTAGATCTCCACAGCTTCCAAATATAGTACCAAAGAACTGGCTTAGGTCAAGTAAGAGGTAACAGCACATTAAAAAATATTTTCCAAAAATCCACTGTTACATAGAATTCTTAAAACTGTTTCTTCACCGGGGCACATGGATAGCTCAGTCAGTTAAGTGTCAGACTCTTGATTTCGGCTCTTGATTTCCGCTTGGGTCATGATATCAGGGTGGTGAAAATGAGCCCCCAAGTTGGCTCCACACTCAGTGGGGTGTCTGCTTGTTCCTCCCTCTCCCCTTTTGCCCCCCCAACTCGCATGCGCGCTCTCTCTCTCTCTCTCAAATAAAATTTTTTAAAAAGTGTTTCTTCACTGAACACTCTACCCAAGTAACTCACGTGGTCAAAAATAGGATTTTAAAGAATCCGTATACTTTAGTCAAACTCAAACAGGTTACTCTTCAGAAATATGAATACACTGGCAGTCTCACCTTATCATTAGTAAAAATAGCCCCAAGGTAACAGCAAGCAGAACAGAAAATACATAGAGCCTGAATCTTCAAGGTTCCATCTCAGAAAGAGCAATAGTATACCAAGTTCGGAAATTGCAATATTCTACTAGTAGTGTTAGGAAATTCCTCTCAAGAATAACCTAGTTTAAGAAGTAAAAATTTCTTCTTATGATTTTTTTTAAGTAAGCTCTATGCCCAACATGGGGCTTAAATTCACAGGCCCGAGATCAAGAGTCACGTGTTCTATTGCCTGGGCCAGCCAGGCACCCCTCCTTTTCACGATTAATCTGAACTGTGAGGTAGGTAACAAGTAATAACCTACATATTACTGTTTGAATGAATTCTATTTCAAGATGAAAGAGAGATGCAAAGCTTTTTCTTTTAATTAATCTGAATATTGTTTAAAATAAGAGAGCCATTCATTATCCAGAATCCCTTAAATAATAACAAAAGCTAACACTGAATATTTACCATATGTCAGGCATTGTGTTAAAATTTTATAAGACCTAACTTAATATTTAAAAGCCTCCCATAACATAGGTACTGCCATTATCTCCATTTTAGAGATGATGCAAATAAGGCTTATAGGTGTTAAGTGACATCTAAAGTCACATAGCCATTAAGTGGTAGGGTCAAGAGTGGAATTAGGGCACCTAATTCCACAGCCCTGGAGGCTCTTAACTACTGTGCTTAATCACGATCATCTGCTGATAAGAACATCTCAAATGTTCACAGGATATTAAAGGCTTCCACAGTTTTAAGGCAGTGTGTCCTGCTGATCTAGTACTCATTAAGGCAATTTTAGGCTTTCCAGGTATAAAGCTTAAATTATCACATTTCTCTTTCTATTAAGGAGAAAGTCTTTCTTCAAAGATGGTGGGCAAAAGAACAAAGTAAGTGAAAGTAACAAAATAATGAGTAATAATTCAGAGTCTCAGGAATCATGCCATCAGAACATTAAACTGCCACATTCAAGAAAAAAATTCCCAACTGTGCTTTTGTGCAGAATTTTATTTTCATGTAGTCAAGTAAGTGAATCACACTGAATAGGCTAAGATCCAATAACAAAAACTCCCATCAAGTTTTCAACATTAGCAGGTGCACTCTAATGTTCAAGTCACTTTCAGATCCAAAATGGCATTTGCATGTGGAGTCTTTGCTATTATCAGAACCGTATTCATTTACACAACAAAAGGAAGAAATTTACTAGCTCTGAATTCCTCATACTGGCTTTTTAATCTCATGAGCTTCAGGGAAGATAGTGTTCAAAAAAATTTGTTTCTTTTAAAAAGATGCCAGACATACAACAAAAATAATAATTCTTGCACTTTAAACAACTGACAAAAAAGAATTAATTCTGACCAAAAAAAAGTTAGTATGATTCCATGTATGCAGAATTCTAGAACTAATTTATTATGACAGAAAGCAAATCAGTGTGTGCCTGGGGATGGGGTTGGGGGAGGCATGGATCAAAAAGGAGGAGGAAACTTTCGGGGTGATGCAAACGTTCATTATCTTGACTTGAGTAATGGTTTCACAGGCATATA